TCTGCTATTATTCAAAAACAGTCGGGAGGGGAGGGGGGGGGGGTATAATTTGATCAAATTTTATACAAAATAAAATGACATCTAAATATCTAGATAGACAAAGTAACATCAAACTAATCTCTGTACATTCGCATAGAGTGAAAATTTTCAATCAGTATAATTCAAATCGTTTGTAAACTTAACTATTAATATCTTAATATTTTTATTAAGAAAATATTGATTACAAATGAATAAAAAATTCTAATATAATATGAGAAGAAATTTATAATTAGCTCATTAATAAAACATTATAGTACATTACTGAAACAATTTTTCTTTAATAAATGTTTATTAAATTATATTATTATTAATGATTGGTATCACTGATTCATATGCATCGCTGATATGCGTGATTAATGGTTCAATTCCGAAACTACATACGAAAAGAATAAGTTTTTAGATATCGCCCATCATAAGTACTCGTGAAATAAAGAATCGCTTATCAGTGACGGGATTGTTACGCCCACGCAAGATACGCTATATTAATGTGAGAATCGCGTACCGCGCGAAATATTCTGAAAATAAGCACTTGGTAGTACACGCACGTTGTAAAACATTTTATATTCTTCTCGGTGAGATGATATCGCAGAAAAAAATTTCAATCGAGCATTCGGGTCGACTTAGGTTATCATCTGAATTCAAAATATTTTGCCGAATATTCCTCGATTTTGGTACATTTAACAATTAAACAGTCATAGCAATGAACAAGAAAATTTATTTTGGTCTTATATAATTGCACAATTAATAAATTAATATATATTTATATATATAAATAAAATAAATTGTGTAAAATATAGAAATCATCTATCATTTAAAATTAACAATGTTTTTATACAACCACGCGGTTATTTTAGTTATATATATTACTATTATACTTTACACGATAAGTCTGACCTTCATATTGCAGATGCATCAAAGCATGAAACGATTCAATGAAATCTATGACTTTTCCGCCAGGCAATGAAATCACTGATCGAGCGATGTCATATTGGCCTCGATCGATACAATTGCGGCCAATTGTCGATGTTCCCGTTCTCGATCGATTGCATTTGCGGTGGGTGCTCGCCACAGAAAACAATGCCGTATTAATGATCGGACGCGAATAGCGCGATCAGTGAGCGTTCGAGACGCCCACACCGAAAGTAACGTAAACATTGATAATCTGGCTTTATCGGACTTTATTCATACATTATCCACGTGATCCATTCCGTACTTTCTCTTTAATCAGTGTCTCCTGATTTTATGTGTTTCACCTCTTATCTCAGGTTAGCCACGATAAACGAATGCAAAAAACTCTATACTTAATTAATGGCTTTAAAAAATTACGATAAGTGCTTTATTTTTAAGCATAGAATTAGATTGAAATGGAGCCTTAGAAAAAACAATAATATTATTAAAAAATGACAATAAAAATAAAAATATTTAAATTAACGACAATTCATGTAAGTAGTAACAAACGTTTATAATGTCACAGTTATAATTATTATTTTTTTAAATTATTTATTGTTTATTTTGTTATTACAAATTTTGTCAGTCTACGATCAGCCTAATTATCGGTTGGTTTTCTGCGTCGGTTTCGAGAGCCGGTTTCAATACGTCGTATGAGATGACGCCGGATAAACCCGTGTCTGGTTCCACTATCGATACTTTAATTAAAACATCGATGCTCGAGTGGCAGTGGACTCACGCCCAGATTCGTCCCAAAGATCGAATATAACGCTACACTTTTATCAAGCCCCTGCATTCTCTCTTGACATATCTGGTTCTTTCATTACGACGCTCGGTTTCCGTATTTTTTCTCACGCTTATTTAAGTTTTTCACATAATTATCATATCAGCAATAGTTACTTAACTTATTTAAGTAATATTTGGAACATTATACATTTGAATTTCAGTTATTGCTACATCAGAAAAATATTCAACAAAAATCGTGTATAAATTGAAACACAAAGTAAGCTATACTTAGACATAAAGAAAACTTGTAGCATATTTAAAAATTGAAATAATTCATAAAATAATGAGAAAATGCAGAAATTCCGGTACATTCTTTGTAAGTCTCGCCACTAGTTGCTTCGGCATTACGTCACCTCGTGCACAGCTACGCGCAGCGTGGGACACGACGAATGAATCTCAACCCCCGGTTGAGTGCACCGGGGGCGGTGGCGGACGACTTCCGAGAGGGGCGCAGAATGGGTAGTATGCGCTTTACCCCCGGAGAAGGGCGCGTTTTCAAGGGAGGAGTCGGGACGAGGATGCCGCCGAGGAGGAGGTGGAGGAGAAGGGACGGGGCGAGGAAACGGTATGTGCGGCGTGGGAATCCAAGAGGGAGCGAACGCTCGCCACCTCTCTCACCGACCGTTTCGTTGGGTGGGGAACGACGGGGGGAAGATGACGAGGGGGGAGGGAGGGTTTTGCAACCCCTGAGAGATTGTCGGTAACGAAAATCCTCGTTGCCGTTTAGTCGTTTCTCGTTCATTGACACGCGTGGGTTTGTTTTTCCATCCCGTCGGAACCTTAGCGCGCGATTCGCGATAGAAAGAAATCGTTTCTCATAGCTGATATTTCTAATAGTCAATGCAATTCGATCTTTCCGCAATGCAGGAAAGTTGATGTTATCGTTGATTATCTCATCGATGCGTTTCTCACTCATAGCGTTATGCATACGGAAAATATTGTGAGAGAATACAATGTGCGATCGACTTTGAAATCATTCTCGAATTTTCGGACCGTCTTTCGTTGAGACATTTTCTATGTACTATGAAATGCACGCCGTGTCTCGAAGAAATTATCAGATTGCTATCTACATGAAAATTTGCTACGATGGTGGAGGTGATACATCCCACGTATGTGAATGAGGAGCGAAATTTTAAATCGGTGAGTACAATCAAATTGTACAAAATAGTTCAAACGATCACTTTCATTACGATTGTTATCACTCTATAGTTTTGCTAATAAATAACACCATTATTCTAATTCGCTTAAGTAGTTGCATCGATAAGACACATGGCGTTCTCCATTAACATTATTCTTTGTTAATCATTATATACTGTAAAAATTAAATGCAATATGCGTCTATCCACTATTTATTGCACAACATATTCTTCATTAATTAAAATAATTGAAAGAAGCATCTTTGCTCCGAAAGATCATACATCATCTCTCTTTCTCAACAGCAACATTAATTAATTATTTAATTAATCAATCAGAATAATGCTATCTCAAATTACTCGTATCAGTCAAGCTATCAGTCACACTGTCATTAATTTACTGGATGTTATGCGAAATCCGCGTAAAGCGTGTCTGTGTACATACACAGAGCGAGACGCTCGTGAGACGCTTGGAAGTAAGTGTGAACGCTAAAGGGGCCGAGAAAAATCTTTCCGCTAGCCCCGAACAAGATCATACGAGCCAGTACGAAATGTACAAGAAACCAAAGTATCCCGCGTAATCAAAGGAGACGGAGAGGCACGTACGCGGATGAGAGGCCGGCTGGCGGAGAGAATCGAGTAGAAAAAGAGAGAACGCGCGAGACGTCCGACGCGAAGGAAGGAAAGGGCGCCCCGAGAGGGGTCCAGAGGGAACGAGGGGAGACCGTGCGTGCCCCACTCTCGCATACTCTCTCTCCCCCCACCAGGATTCGTGTCGCGTGTCCCATCTCCCACTTCTCTTCTACCGACACGTACACTTCTCCGACACCGCCGCCGCCGCTGCCGCGAATCGGGTGTACCCACACGCGCGATCGCGCGCGCGCACGCCCGTGTGTGCATCGCAAGTGGTTTTGCTGCAGTTTGTTCCGAAGGAACGACACGGTACATTGCCGTAAGAAGGAGAGTGAGAGAAGGATAGAAGGGGAGGGTGGCCCGTGCGATTGGCGGGATGGTAGGAGGAGAGAGGAGAGAACTATCGTGTTTGAAGATGCACGCGGCGGTGTGTTAGTGGCCACGCGTGTGGTGGAAAGAGAGACCCCTCGGAAGAGAGGACGAGAGAAAAGACGAAGGAGAGAGAGGTGACTTCTCCTCGGGGGCCTTAGTCGCCGACTGTCCGCTACTACGCGCAGTGTTACACCATCATCGTCGTCTCCTCGTCCTCGGTCCTTTCTCTCTCTCTCTCTTTCGTCGCTGTCTCTTTCCCTCCTGCGTCCCTCCCACTCTACCCATCTTCTTTTCCCTCTCACCTGTTGCGGCTCACCCCTTTGATCCAGTCGTTTTCGTGCGCCCCGCGTGAAGAATCGCACTTCGCAATAACGAGACGCGGCATCTTGTCCAGGATCCCTGGAGCTATATCACGTGTTTTAGAGACGCAGCCAGGACGCACAACCGAAGCACCGAGATCTTCGAAGGAAATCGTGAAGAAAGACCGACAAAGCCGACTGTTCTATTTTCGGATGTCGGAATAATCGAAGAAAGCTTCCTGTCATGAGTTTCCATTGTGGTGGAAAAATATCATCTACGTAATTTTAAGAAAGGACATTTAAACACGAGAATGTCGAGAAGCTTTGTTATCGCGACTCGGTTCCCGACATCAAAGAGACAAGGTTCATTGGACGATTGTAATAACTGTCATTCAAAATTTCGTGGAATTGGTCTGTTTACAGATTCGCCTCTATGATTGATAAATTCGTGACACGACCGTGGAAAGTGTCGAGCGGAATAAACAAGCTTATTAGCAATGTATGTAAGAGGAGACTCCCGACAATACAGCCGCAAATATACGTATTTTCCTCGATATGAAAATATCTACGTTATTGAAATCGCTACATTTCTAACCTCTCTTATATTATAAATATAATTGCGACAAATTGAGAAGCAATTCACGAGAGGTAAAAATTATCGAAGGCTCGACGACAAAGAGGAAACGGAACTTTGCCAGTCAAACTTCTGTCTGCGTCGATTCTTTTTCGCGGAAGTAAAAGTTGACTTGTTTGGAAAGTGAGATTCGAAAAGTGTGAGACATGCAAATAATATGAGTCCGAAGTAAAGTGGAGTGTTGGCTACGAAGTGTACTGGTATTGGAAGGTGCTCTCCATCGTCGCAACCATTGAACGACCGTCGACAAACGGATTCACGCTGCCATCTGCACGAGAGGTGAGATCGTCGTGACGCATAATTCTTTCTTGAAAATATCAGATCAATACACATGATTGTTAAATCTCTTTTAAACGAATTTTTGTCTATTTGCATAAATTAAATGGCCGTAAGAAAGCGTAAAAATAATTCCGAGTTCTTCATGTTGTGCAAAAATACGATTAATATAGTGGGTAAGATTTTGGGACGAACTATTATAGGTACAAATTTCCACACGTATTTAAATTTATAGCTTGTAGGTAAAATTAATTTCTAGTATTGCAATAAAGAAGACTGCACAAATAAAGTAAATTTCAATTTATTTGAACAACCTGTTTCATTACAACATTAGAAATTAAGTTCATTTGCAAGCTATAAATTTATATACTCATAATTTAATGGTTGTAATTTTACACTAATTTTTTTTATAGTGCAAAACTATGATATTTAAGCATTTTTTATATTTTGGTATTAACATTTGCTTTATTTCAACTAATTAAAACTTTACTGTCTTCTTACTAATTGATATAGTTATATTAAAAGATTTGCAAGTTATCTCATACTTACATCGGAAGGGACAGATTAAAGTAATTAGTGATTGTGAAACGCGGCGCTCGATTCATTTAACGAACCCAACATCCATAATTATATCTGATTGCAATTCTGCAGCATTTACATCGTTTCATTAAATTGCACATATCGTTATAATGTCGGCATAATCTGATGCACGAATTAATTCCATTTTCATTGAAAACCATTCATTAATTTACCAAATTTAAGTTAATTTCTGAATAGCAAAAGATAATGAATTCCTGTTAACATTATGAGTTAGGCGCTACTCATGCCGCGAGAGATTATCGGCAGAGATATCACGAAAGTTAGTCTACTAATTGCTCCGTGACAGCAGGGGTAAGGTACGTCACCGGTGCGAGAATACTATTAAGTAGAAACTCATGCCACTTGTCTTGTCGGAGATCATTAACTGGCATGTATCCGTATATGTGTCTTACACACCCCGAAACATCATATTTATCAATCTTTCCTCTGCTATGTTGACAATTAAATCGCTCCTTTGTTCTTGCGCGTCAACTCCAGCCCAGCGACTACGGGTCCCGGCGTAAAGCTGTCAGCGAAAACGATAAGCGAGCGTTAACATCATGACACCTCCTTAACAAAACGCGCATTTGGCAAGAACAAACTTTCGAATGATATCATTTACGAAGAATGTGTACCGAGAGTAAGTGTATCCGCGCGCGCGCGCGCGCGCTTCCATTTAACGAGCAGCGATAAAAATATCTAATAAGCTGCCGCCACAATAATTAATTCCGGCAATAGTATTAATCGTCGCCATCGAGACGGCAATTATTTTTAAACATACTGCTGTTACGCGTTTGTCGTAAAACCTGTATACCGCCGGCGCCTTTTCTACTCAATATCCCGTAGCGGCGTAAAACCGCCGCTTCTCTTGAAAAGCGAAATTTAGCGTGCATATAAGCGGAACTATCTTTGGAGTGCTCCGTATTAAAACATTATCCGAGATTTCCTATACACTTTTAATAGAGAAAATAATTATACTAGACTAGGCTATATATTCCAGTATCCTATAAGCAAAACAAAAAAAATATCACGTTGAGTTTTTTACAGATTTATTATATATCTTATTGCGTATCTTGATTGTGTCATTTACGAGCGTTTAGATTAAAAATGCCGCTAGACGCGCTGTATATAAACGTGAACATCCGCGGAAAGTCTCTTGATATACCGCTTCTTCTTTGAGACTTTCCGCCGTAAATTATGGTAGACATGGGCAATCGCATAAATCATGCGTGAGTATGCGGAATAGACGGAAAAGTAGTGAGAGGCAGGATACATACTACAGGTATACACCATATAATGCAGATACACTATCGCACAATAGCAGCAGCGCGCTCGCGGAATGCGAGCGTGTGTTAGCACGCGCGCGCGTTTCGGTACTTACATAATTCGCGTATGTTGCAGCAGGTAGCCGACATGCAATCCGTTCATTCTTTCGCGATGGAAATTGATTGCATCTGATACGGACGGTAGCTCGTAAAAACACGTCAGTATAAATAGCTCCGGGAAAATAGACCACTCCTTCGCTTTGCGGCGTGCGGAAATCACCTTTTAACCCTTCGAATGTAATATATCTACTTCGTAGATGTATATCTACATCTTCACATTATTTTAATATGAACTAAAGGACCAAAGGAAACGGAGTTATTTATTCCGTTAACCATTGCAAGGAATATTTATGGTAATATAAATATATTATAAATAAATTGAAAGTTATAATATATTTGTATTGCTACTTTCATATCTTTTTATTAAAACTGTTTTGACCTTACAGTTATCAAGGGACAGAATAAAATCATTCCAAAGAATTTCTTTTTCATCTCAAGTTTATTCTTAAGTTTACAATTAACAATCAATGTTCTCAGTATTCAAATTTGCATTTAGCAAGTTTGTACAAGTTTTCTATCTTTATTATTTTTTATTAATTTTATAATCAAGATTACTTGTTTCAAACCGAATCGGAATTTGTGTCAGTTTTTATACGAAATAGCTTACGACAAATCGTTGTTTATCATCGACTGTGACGAGAATATAGTAGTTAATTTTTTACTTAATTTTGCAATACTGCTGATAGTGTCGTCGTAAAACATGGTGAATTAGTATCTAAGAGATCTGCACTCAACATTTCTCGAATTACGGCATGTTTTAGTTTTTCCATCAAAACGACAACCTCTGTCACAATATTGCAAGACCCAGTTACAGTCGATACATTTATAATATAGATTGCCTTGACATTCATGAGGTTTTCGATCGTTAGTTTTACATATACAAATATCTTCGCAATTTCCATTTTTCCGATTCTTAACGCAAGCTTGACATGTGCGACTAAAGCACAGACCTTCAGGACACCTACGCAGAATCTTCTCGCCATCTATGCATTCCCAGTACAACTTGCAATTGTCTTTTTCATGAGATATCTTAGAACGAGGATAATTGCCGTTCTTGTCCTTTCCAGGACATTCAATACAACCGGCCTGCCCTGGCCAATCGCAGACTTGTAAACGTCTATTGAAGTGTAGTCTTCTGTATTCGTCCAACAAAGGACAATCTTGCTGAACTCCTTTACCCCAATTGCATTTGTAGAACTTTGTACAGTCAGTTTCATGCGCGAGATGGGTCGTGGTTACGTTGTCTTTTTCTCGGAGTGGGCATACTGTGGGTATTGGTTCCTTGTTCGCAGCGATCACCGTCAAAAATGCCAAGAACACGATTACGTGTATTTCTGTGCCGAATAAACATTATTTTTTAAATGTCAGTCGCGGTATGATCGAATCATGAATTAGTTGATTTTTATTGCAACTGAAAAATTAATTGTTTCCATACAAATATTAATTTTAATTAAAAAGTTATCGATGTATAATATAATTCAATCATTTTACTTTAATAGCTCTAGTATCTTATTTGAATAGTTTTATAATCTCAATAGACTTATCAAAAATTTATTGAGTAAATAATACTCACCCCTCATTGCGTATCGTATCGATTGTCCTGTTAATGCCTCTATGATCCGTTCAGATGTGTAACTGACTGAATTCAGGCAGATCGGCTTTTATAAATATACACCGCGTTATCATATAAAATACACGCAAGGACAGATTACCATCTATCGAAGATATACTTTTCTTGTTTAGTCTCCGGAAGAGAGGATTAACGGTTATATTACTCAAAGAATTACATCAGATTTAGGTATCTAATAATAAACATATTTTGTGCAACCAATAGTATCGGTTTCAATTGTGAACTAATAGTTAACAAGCGCTATGATGTAAAAAGTTGAAATTATAACTATACTTTTTATTTAACTATACTTTCATTTTGTTTTTCGTTAAATATGATTTCAATCAAGCATGATTTATATTTGTTAATGATAAAAGATATGCACATAATAAATTAGTCACACAGTATTAAGCTTTCTTATGATTTGCGGTTAGATAAAAAGAGAAAAATTTATAAAACAATGAATATTAATCAATGAATTCCTGACATATTATACACCGGATGTGGATTACGACTTGCACATAATGTGAATTACATTTGACATCTCTTGTTATCAGTCGAAGCCTTGAAATTTAACGTATCATTCGACCTTTGAATACGACATTATCAAAACGTATAATCTGCACTGCTATCAAACACGATATTGATAAAGAAAAAAATTTATTTGAATTAAGTTTCCTCATATGCATTTCAACAAAATGAACGATGTAATCGGTTAATCTTGCGGGCGCAGCAGGATGTCTTTTCCTGCGCTGACGACGAGACAGTTAGAATGACATTAAAATACGAGATACGGTCAACCGTATCAGCCGTCGTCGAGAAATTCTGGCCGCGACGTCGTCGCGCGGTAACATTGTAACCCCAGTCCGGTGTCCTGGTAGCATAACAAGTAGCTGGCCGCTGTGCTGGCGGCATTGCTACACTATGTGTAACGCATAGAATCTTACCTTGCGTGCCCGAAGTTATTTGTGCACAAGAGTACACGAGTATTTCATACCGCATAAATTTTATAATTTCGGAATTGTATGGGATTCTTGCTAAATCTTTGTACGCAATGCTACTGGAAACATTGTGATAAACAGAACGTGATTTTGCATTATAATACTTATCCTATGCAGTAGATGATTTTTATTCGAGAAAGATGCTGGTGACATAGTGCGCAATTAATAATGTATTTGGCACGTTACATTTTCTCCAAAGAGGTTTCACCAATGATCGATTTGTTATTCGCTTCGTCGCTGCATAGAAGTACATAAACAAAATGCGAAATACAATGAAGTGAAAGTGACTTTGGTCGAACTTGTTTTCCACCGGATCTATTATTCTTGATTCATTAGCAATGTTATGACGGCAAAGTGCGATACCAAATTTATTTGCGATAAAATTATGCCGTAATGAAATTCCAGCATTGTTGTTGTACGAGTTAATAT